GCCGGGGTCGTTCTAACGGCCGGTCCACTCCTCCAGGGTCTGTCACCGCTGGAAGAGGCTAGTGGACGACCGGTGGTTGTGGCGACATGTTGACCTGACGCTCTACACGGTATGCGGCACGCGGGACCCGCGGGCGGTGCCCGGAGAACCCTGGGACAGAGTGGGGTTTGCTTTGTTTTGTTTTCTAGTGTGTGTTTGCTCATTTATTTATTTACTTGAGGCTTATGGTTTTTTTTCTTGATTTTTTGTTTTTTGTTTTTTTTTTTCTTTGGGGAAAGGCTGTTTTGAGACAGGGTCTCTAGCCCAGATTGGCCTCCAGATTCCTAGGAAGCTGAGGATGACCTCGAACTTCTGATCCACCTCGCCCTTCTAAATACTGGGATTACCAGCATAGGCACCCAGGACTGGTTTCTATGATACTGGGAATGAAATTTAGGCTTCCTGAATGCTAGGAAAGCACTCTACTGACTGAGCCTTGTACTTCCAGCTCACTACAACTTCCCTCAACCCCCTGAGTGCTAAGATTACAGGTGTATGCCACTATGTCTGGCCCAGGAAGTGTTTGGTTTTCTTTTTTTTTCTTTTCCACTCGTGACATGCTTTCTTTGTACCCTTAGCTGTCCTGGAGCTTGCTTGCTTTATCCTCCTGCCTCTGCCTCTAAGGGCTGAGTGTGGGCCACCATGGCCAGCTGGTTTGGTTTGGTTTTGAAGTGAGTTCATGCTTGGAATTTCCTGCATGTCTATCCTGACACTAGCCTTTACCTCCTCCTCCTCAGCAACCCCAGACCTCAGTTTCTCATCCAAGAAATGGGGATTAAAAAGAGTGCTTGCTTCACCCTGATGAAGCTCTGGTCTCCATTCCTAACACCAAGAAAAAAAAAAAAAGAAAATGTACATGCCTGCCTGGTGTATTGTCGGACTTAGTCAGTTGCATAGGGAGCTGGTTTAAACCAGTATCTGGTCTCCAGCATATGATAAATGTAAACATAACTATTAGCAGTTTTCTGGTTTTGTTGTTCTCTTTTGGTTTTTGAGAAGGGTCTCATGTGTCCCAAAATAGATTTTAGCTATAACTGTTAGTCTCGAAGTGGACAAGAGTTTATTCTGGAGCCAAATGTAAGTGACCATGGCTTGAGAGTACAGTTAAGCTTCCACTCAAATACATGTTCAAACCTAACAGTTACATGAAATTTTATTTTATTTATCTTTTTTTTTTTTTTTTTTTTTTTTTAGACAGGGTTTCTCTGTGAGTCCTGGAACTCACTCCATGCAGGCCTTGGAATTCAAACGATCTCCCAAGTACTGGGATTAAAGGTGTTGGTTGCTACCACTCAGGGAAATCTTATAGTAACAGAATAGAGAAACTTGTAAATCAAGATGCCTTTCAAAAAGATGAACCATCTCTCCAGCAACTACACAAAATACTTTTAAAAAGGAAAAGATTTTAATTTCTTTCTGAAAAAGTGGTCAATAAATGTATACCTTAAAGCTGAGCCTGATACAGGTCTGTAATCCCAGCTACTACAGAGGCTGAGGGAGGAAGATCATAAATTCAAGGCCAGCCTGGGCAACTTAGCTGAACCTGTCTTGAAATACTAATTCTGAAAAGACCTGGAACTGTGACTTAGTCCTAGAGTGTTTTCTTGGCCTGTGTGAGGTCCTGAGTTTATTCCCAGTACCACCAAAACCAAGTGTATGCTCTGAGCTGGGGTTTAGCGGAGTTTATGGCATGTCCTTAATATATGTGAGGTCCTAGGTTCCATCCCAACACCAGCAATGAATCACTTGTTTTACATAGCTGTTTTACCCCTTTTTTGAAAAAAAAAATACATTTTTTTGTGTATGCGCAGGTGCAAATGCCCATGTGTAGAAGACCATGTAGAGGACAGAGGTTAATGTAGGGCATCTTCCTTGGCCTCTCTCTCTTGAGACAGGATCTTACTCAGTAGTCTGAATTTGGTATGTAGACCAGACTGGCCTGGAATTTAGAGAGATTCCCCCTGCCTCTGTGCCTAGTGCTGAGATTAAAGGTGTGTGTCACAACCCTGGACTCTGCCTTGTTTATTTGTTTGTGTTTGAGACAGGATCTTCCACTGAACTTGGAGTGACTAGACCAGCTGGCCAGAACTGTGGATCCTCCTGCCTCAACCTTCCCTGTGTGCTGGCTGGGTTTAATAGCATGAGTCTTGATACCCAGCAAAAGAAACTCCCTTGCTTTAGGGAAGGAAGCTGGCAGAAGAGCCGAATCCCAGGGGGACAGCAGAACCCAGGTCCTAAGCATGTCTGTTACCAGCGAGGTGGATCCTTTGGGAGCCCTTGTACCTCTCACCCAGTCATCCCACTCTCTGGCTCTTACAGATGCGTCCAAAAGTCATGTGGCACCTTCTGCGCCGGTACATGGCATCCCGGCTCCACTCACTGCGCATGGGTGGCTACCTGTTCTCTGGCTCTCAGGCCCCACAGCTGTCCCCTGCCTTGATGCGAGCCCTGGGCCAGAAGTGCCCCAACCTGAAGCGCCTGTGCCTGCATGTGGCTGACCTGAGCATGGTGCCCATCACCAGCCTGCCCAGCACACTGAGGACCCTGGAGCTGCACAGCTGCGAGATCTCAATGATCTGGCTGCAGAAGGAGCAGGACCCTACAGTGCTGCCGCTGCTGGAATGCATCGTGCTGGACCGAGTGCCTGCCTTCCGTGACGAGCACCTGCAGGGCCTTACCCGATTCCGAGCCCTGCGCTCACTGGTGCTGGGTGGTACCTACCGAGTCACCGAGACCGGGCTGGATGCCAGCCTGCAGGAGCTCAGCTACCTGCAGAGGCTAGAGGTGCTGGGCTGTACCCTGTCAGCCGACAGCACCCTGCTAGCCATCAGCCGCCACCTCCGAGATGTGCGGAAGATTCGGCTGACCGTTGGGGGCCTCTCAGCCCAAGGCCTGGTCTTCCTGGAGGGAATGCCTGCCCTGGAGAGTTTGTGCTTACAGGGTCCCCTCATCACCCCAGAAATGCCCACACCCGCTCAGATTGTGACCTCCTGCCTTACCATGCCTAAGCTCAGAGTGCTTGAGGTGCAAGGGCTGGGCTGGGAGGGCCAGGAGGCAGAGAAGGTCCTATGCAAGGGCCTGCCCCACTGCATGGTGATTGTCAGGGCCTGTCCCAAAGAATCCATGGATTGGTGGATGTGAAGGTACCACCCATCCATCCCTGGGACCTATCCTAGCTTTTAAAGTTGACCTTGTAAGCAGCAAACTGAAGCATGTAAATTAACCAGGCTTGAGGAAACTGGAGGTCACAAGAAAAAGAAGACAGGACCTTGGGGCCTGAAGAGCTGGGGTTGTCTGCCATTTGGATGACCTCAGCCTTGTCACCCAGCCTCTGGGAGGCCCAGTTCACACATTTAGAAATAGGCATCATAGCTACCTCATGATTCATTTGCAAATCTCCCCCACAACCCCACACCCCCACACCCCCTCTCCCCTCCAGTACCTGGGCATCAAAATCACAGCCTTAGGTATGTTAGGCCAGCACTGCTGTGCCCCTGAGCTATATACTGGAGCCCTGGAAAGTCTTAATCTCTAATAGACCCCAGAAGAGCTCTATAGAGGGGTCATTTACAGGGTTCAGGGCTCTGTGATTGTCTGCCTGGTTCTCTGCCTATATGCTTGGGAGACAAAGTCAGGGGCAAGGGAGACAAGCTGTTGAATTATCCTAGTGTTCTAAAAGGTTCTCAATTGTATTTTCTGTATTTTGTATCCTGCCTTTTTCAAGTTTTCTACAGCATATAGTATTTTACTATTAAAGAAGATTAATGGTTTTTCAAAGTGTATTCCATTTATTTAACAAGGATTGCTCCTTCCCTGGCACTTACTATTCACAGGCAGTTTTCTTTATCTATCCTTTTTTTTTTTATTACAATTAACTTATTTGGTGTTCATGTGTGTGGGCACTGTAGTACATATGTGGAGGCCAGAGGCCAGAGGACACTTGTTAGGAGTCAGTTCTTTCCTTCTATCCTGTGGGTCATAGGGATCAAACCTAAGTGGTTAGGTTTGGTGACAAGTGCCTATACTGTTGAGCCATCTTACCAGGCTATTATTTTTAGGCAGGAGCTTCTAATTTCAACCCCTAATTCTCCTGCCTCCTCCCAAGTGCTAGGATGGAACCCAGGGCTTTGAGCCTGCCAGGCAAGTGCTCTACCCACTGAGCAACACTCCCAGCCCCTTCCGGGCACCTTTCTAGGTACTGGGCTGCACAGTGAACAAAGGGAAAACCCTCAGCTGCGAGTGTAGATAGATGGCAGGTGTCTAAGGAAGTAAACACATCTATGAGCCAGACATGGCACAGACCTTCCAGTATTCAGGTCAGCCTGGGCTACTGTAGAGAACCTCTCAGATGGTGAGCCAGGGTGTGTCATGGGATACAGACACCAGCTAGGGAGGGAGGGTGGATCTCTGAGGTCTGAGAGGTGAAGAGATAAGATGTGAGGACAGTTAGGGGATGACAGGAAAAGCCAAGACAGATTGGGTCCCAGGGAGTGGGTCAGGGGCACAGCCCTTGCCTAGAGTGTATAAGTCTGTCCTCAGTACTAAAAAACCAAAATGGACTGGGGAGATGGCTCAGTGGGTGAAGGTGCCCTCTGCCAAGGCTGATGACCTATAGTGGATAGAGAACTGACTCCTGCAGATTGTCCTTTGACCCACACACACATGCTATGGCATGAGTAGATACCCATATTTGCGCGTGCTCACACACACACACACACACACACACACACACACACACACACACACACACACACACACACCACCAACATCAACAAAAAGACCCTGAGATAGGAAATGAATTGGGCATTTCCAGAGACAGCATTGTCAACAAGGGAGAAAAATGGATCCTGTCAGGTCAGATGGGGGTGGGGATGGGGTGGGGGCACAGGCTAACTGTGTACTGGTGCCTCTTCCTGTTTTTGGAGTTGGAACAGCTTGATCATGCAGGTGCCAACTGCTTGATGACACTGAGCATATAACTTTGATATGAGCTTGGTGGGTGATGCACATCTGTGGTCTTTACCACCTGCTGTGGGTGGAGTCCAGGGGTGTAGAGAGCTGAATTGGAGGCGTTCACTTCTTATTCCAAGCTCACCCATCAGAGGGGACCTGGTGTGTTTCTTGCCTTAGAATACAGTCTTCATGTGGGCCTTCAAGGGGATTCAGAGCCACTCAGGTGACCTATTCACATGGAGCTTGGTATTTTTTTTATTTCTGCCACTGGAACTTTAGGTTATCTGTTGAACCTCTAAACCCAGAAGTAACTACATTAGAAAATATGAGTTTGGGAGGGAATTAAGGCAAAAGGGCAAGTCCCTCATGAATAAGATTAGTATCCCTATCAAAGATATTTCTGAGGGAGGCTAGGGAGCTGTCAAGGTGTGTAAGAGCACTTGCACAAGCCTGGGGTTCTGAGTTCAAATCCCCCACCACCCACAGAGAAAGCCAGGTGAGGCTATGCCAGCCTAGCTCCTGTTTCAGTGAGAAACCTGGTCAGTCATAAGGGAACAAGGCAGAAAGTGACAGCAGCATATCTTAGCATGTGCCCATGTGTACAACATTCTTCCCCTGCATAATTAAAAATTGCTCCTTAGATCCTCTGAGGACATAGAGGAAAGGCATTTGACCCGTGAAGGCTTCAGCAGACACCACACCTACTGCTTCATCTTGGACTCGAAGCTTCCACAGTTGTGACCAATACTTTTCTGGGTTTGCTTGGAGAGGGGTGGGGTGGTATGTGAGTGCAGTCATGTGTGAGACAATCAGAAGCCAACTTTCAGAAGTCAGTTCTATCCTTCCACGGTGGGTTCCTAGGCTCAAAGAAAGCCAGGTGGTCAAGCTTGTGGAGCAAGCATCTTTACCCACTGAGCTCTCTTAGTTTAATTTTTTGGGACAAGGTCTTCCTATGCTGGCATGAAACTCACTATGTAGATGAAGGTGGCCTTGAACTTGTGGTTTTTCTGCCTCTGCTTCTCCTGTGCTGGGATTTAAAGGTGTGTGCTACCATGTCTGGCCAATATTTTATTTTTAATTGCCATGTATATGTGCACACAGTCTGAAGTTGTCCTGGGTGGCTAGAAGATGGCATTGTATCCCTTAGAACTGGAGTTAAGGTGCCTGTAAGATGACCGATATGGGTGCTGGGAACCTCACTCAGGTATTCTAAGAGCAGCATCTCTGGGAGAGCCATCTCTCCAGGCCAGCAAAGAAAATATGAGAAGATAATGTTGCTTCTGGAGTTCTAGATCCTTCAGTGGCTCCCTAGTGCACCAAGGCCTTGAGTAGAACTCAACGTTTTTTCATTTTTAAAAATTATCCTTAGCTGGGTAGTGGTGTACACCTTTAATCCCATCAGTCAGGAGGCAGAATCTCCAACTTTAAGGCTAGTCCAGAGCTACATAGAACAACAACAAAAACCAAACTCTCTTACACACACACACACACACACACACACACACACACACACACACACACACACACACACACACACGTATGTATTTATTATGTGTGTGTGTGTGTATGTATGCAGGTTCACATGTATGTTTCATAAGGACTGTGGAGGTCAGAGGACAGCTTACATGTATCTGCACTCTCCTTCCTCCTGGGATCTAACTCAGGCATCAATCTTGGTGGCAGGCACCTTTACCCACTGAGCCAGCCACCCACCATCTAGGCCTGAGTTCAATATTTTTAGTTTCCCAGGAAGCTCTTTGCAGTCATGTCATTTTTCCGACTTTACACTTAACTACTTTCCATTCTGCTGGACTTGCTCAAACCCAGACACTGATTTCAGAGGCCAAGTCATCTCTTGCCTCAGGGCCTTGAAACCTGTATTTCTTTCTTTCTTGTTGTAGACATTCAGAATTTCTTAACTCTCTCAGCATTTTGCTGAGGGTGAAGTGGAAAGGCCAGCAGCTGTGAAGTGGTGTCTGGAGACTCAGCTGTAAGCTACTGACAGTAACAGTCCAAGGAATTTTTTTGTTTTTTTTGAGACAGGGTTTCTCTGTGTACTCCTGGCAGTCCTGGAACTTGCTCTGTAGACCAGGCTGGTCTCAAACTCAGAGATCCGCCTGCCTCTGCCTCCCCAGTGCTGGGATCAAAGGCATGTGCCACCATTGCTTGTCCCATGGAGTTCTTTTAAGAGACCTTTATTCCAGGAAGTCATTGTGATGGCTATTCTTGGTTATCAACTAGACTACACCTGGAATTACTAAAATCCAAAAATAGAGGGCATATCTGTGAGGGATTTTTGTTTAATTTGAAGTAGGAAGACATATTTCTAATCTAGGTTTTTTGAGTTAGGAAGACACACCTTTAATCCAGATCTGGAGGCGGGAAGATACCTCCTGAAGACTAAATAAGGACATGGAAGAAGGAAGCTTTTGCTCTTTGCCTGCTTGCCCTGGGCTTTCTAGAGCACCTATTCCTTCACTGGCATTACAGCCTACTTTTTCAGGATTCCAGCATCGACTGAAGACCAGCTGAGACACCCAGTCTTATGAGGCCGAGCAACTACTAGATTCTTGGACTTTCCGTTCATAGGTAGCCTTTGTAAATCATTCTAATAAATCCCATATATATTCATTCTATCAGTTCTGTTACTCTAGATAACTCTAACTAATACAAATTTTGGTACCAGAATTGTTTCTAGAGCAACAGAAGTATAACAGAAGTATGAGGATGAATCTTTTAAATATCTAGAATAGGCTTTTCAATTTGTCAACACCCATGGTTACCAAAGCCTCTCCAGTTGCTGAAGCTTCTCCTGGGAACTGGGAGAGTACTGAAAGCCCATGGTATGAACTATATTACAAACTTAAGGATACAAATGCATTTGTCTATCTTGATTTGTCAATTGTGCACTGCAGTGGATTTGGTGACTCTGTATAGGAAACTTTTGACAGTTTGAGGAAAAAATAAGGAAAATGATGCTGGTTAATTGACCTTAGCATCTCTGGATAAAGTAACAAAGGGTAGGGATGCTCTCCATAATAAATTAACCAACTTCCAGCATCTCAGAATATGGCGAAGGATAACAATGAATTTAGTGACACAATTCACGTGTTCCATATTTGCATAAATAGTCTAAAGGTTTCCAAGTGTGCCCTGGAAGAGAGTCTTCTTTCTAGCACCTACAGGGTTCAAGTTGTGGAAATAAAAGTGAAGCCCTCATAAGGTTGGCTGAATTACAGCAAAAGCTAAAGTCCCAGCCTAGGAGGGTATCAGCAGTTAATGTAAGGACATTGATTGGTAAAAAATGGAATCCCGTAACTTGGGATGGAGATGTGTGGAGAACCCTACTGAAGCTGAGAACTTTGAGCCCTCAGATTCTCAAGGGTTTATTTCACTGGAAGAAGTAGTCTCTCTACCCTGAGCTCCACCCCGTGAAACATTGCCTTTTCATCTTTGACTGAGGAAACCAGTTCTTCATTGGCTGCTAAACTTGCAGCGACTTTTTCTGAAGGAAATGCCAGCCAAGACAATACTGATGTCCCTCAAGGCCCACCAATAATTGCCTCCAGACCTATAACCAGACTTAAGGGTAAGCAGGCTCCTGGAGGGGAAGTAGAAAGTATACTCTGAGAGGTGTACTACACTACTAAAGAGCTTAGTGAGTTTGCTAATTCATTCAGCAGAAGTCTGAGAAATATGTGTGGGAATGGATTTTAAGGGTGTGAGGTAATGGTGGAAGAGACATAAAATTGGATCATGCTGAGAATATTGATAAGGGCTCTCTGAATGGAGATTGTAGGTTTAATATACATACATGCA